GCCCTGCCTCTAGCCAGGTAGAGGAGAGGGACAATCGAGTCTATTGGACAGTGTGGATTCGGTGGCCTGGCACATCAGAGCCACAAAGGTATAAGGCCTTAGTGGACACTGGCGCACAATGTACTTTAATGCCATCAAGATACGTAGGGGCAGAATCCATCTCCATTTCTGGGGTGACAGGGGGATCCCAACAGCTGACTGTACTGGAAGCTGAAGTGAGCCTGACTGGGAAGGAATGGCACAGACACCCCATCGTGACTGGCCCAGAGGCCCCGTGCATCCTTGGTATAGATTACCTGAGGAGTGGGTATTTCAAAGACCCAAAAGGACTTCGTTGGGCTTTTGGCATAGCTGCTGTGGAGACGGAGGAAATTAGACAGTTGAACACCTTGCCTGGTCTCTCAGAGGACCCCTCTGCTGTGGGACTGCTGAAGGTTGAAGAACAATTGGTACCAATAGCCACAGCAACAGTGCACCGTCGGCAATACCGCACCGACCGAGACTCTGTGACCCCTATACATAAGATGATCCGTGAACTGGAGACCCAGGGGGTGGTCAGCAAGACTCGCTCACCCTTTAATAGCCCTATATGGCCAGGGCGTAAGTCCAGCGGAGAGTGGAGGCTGACAGTGGATTACCGTGGACTCAATGAAGTCACACCACCCCTGAGTGCTGCTGTGCCGGACATGCTGGAGCTCCAGTATGAGCTGGAGTCCAAGGAAGCCAAGTGGTATGCCACCATTGACATTGCCAATGCCTTTTTCTCCATTCCTTTGGCAGCGGAGTGCAGGCCACAATTTGCTTTCACTTGGAGAGGTGTGCAGTACACCTGGAATCGACTGCCTCAGGGGTGGAAACACAGTCCCAGCATTTGCCATGGACTGATCCAGACTGCACTGGAAAAGGGTGAGGCTCCAGAGCACCTACAGTACATTGACGACATCATTGTATGGGGGAACACGGCGGGCGAAGTCTTCGAGAAAGGAGAGAAGATCATCCAGATTCTCCTAAGAGCCGGTTTTGCCATTAAACGGAGTAAGGTCAAGGGACCTGCTCAGGAAATTCAGTTCCTAGGAGTGAAGTGGCAAGATGGACGCCGCCTAATTCCCATGGAGGTGATTAACAAAATAGCAGCCATGTCCCCACCAACCAGCAAGAAGGAAACACAGGCTTTCTTAGGTGCTGTGGGCTTTTGGAGGATGCATATCCCTGAGTATAGTCAGATTGTAAGCCCTCTCTACCTTGTGACACGGAAGAAAAATGATTTCCAGTGGGGCCCCGAACAACAACAAGCCTTTGAACAAATTAAACAGGAGATTGCCCATGCGGTAGCCCTTGGGCCAGTAAGGACAGGACAGGACGTGAAGAACGTGCTCTACACCGCAGCCGGGGAGAATGGCCCTTCTTGGAGCCTCTGGCAGAAAGTGCCTGGGGAGACCCGAGGACGACCGCTGGGATTCTGGAGTCGGGGATACAAAGGATCTGAAGCCAGCTATACACCAACTGAGAAAGAGATCCTGGCTGCCTATGAAGGAGTTCGAGCTGCCTCAGAAGTGATCGGCACCGAAGCGCAGCTCCTCCTGGCACCCCGACTACCAGTGCTGGGCTGGATGTTCAAGGGAAGAGTTCCTTCCACACATCATGCCACCGATGCCACGTGGAGTAAGTGGATCGCTCTGATCACGCAGCGAACCCGGATAGGAAATCCTAATCGCCCTGGGATTCTGGAAATTATCACCAATTGGCCCGAAGGTGAGAGTTTCGGACTATCCTCTGAAGAAGAGGAGGAGAAGGTGACACGGGCTGAAGAGGCCCCACCATATGACAAGCTACCAGCAGATGAAAGGCGATATGTGCTCTTCACGGATGGCTCCTGCCGCATTGTAGGGACAAACCGAAAATGGAAGGCAGCTGTATGGAGTCCCACACGGTGAGTTGCAGAAGCGACTGAAGGACAAGGTGGGTCGAGTCAGTTTGCAGAGCTTAAAGCCGTTCAGTTGGCTTTGGATATAGCTGAACGAGAGAAGTGGCCAAGACTCTATCTCTACACTGACTCATGGATGGTGGCCAATGCTCTGTGGGGATGGCTGGAGCGATGGAAAAAGGCCAACTGGCAGCGCCAAGGGAAACCCATCTGGGCGGCAGAGATGTGGCAGGACATCGCTGGCCGGGTAGAGAAGCTGAGTGTGAAAGTCGGTCATGTAGATGCTCATGTACGCAAGAAACGGGCTAATGAGGAGCATTGTAACAATGAGCAGGCGGACCGAGCCGCCAGGATTAAAGTCTCTCAGGTAGATCTGGATTGGCAGCACAAAGGAGAATTATTTCTGGCTCGATGGGCCCATGATGCCTCCGGTCACCAGGGGAGAGATGCAACATACAGATGGGCTCGTGACCGAGGGGTGGACTTAACCAAGGACATTGTCTCACAGGTCATCCATGACTGCGAGACGTGTGCTGCCATCAAGCAGGCCAAGCGGGTGAAGCCTCTATGGTATGGTGGACGGTGGTCAAAGTACAGGTATGGGGAAGCCTGGCAAGTTGACTACATCACGCTCCCCAAAACCCGCCAAGGCAAGCACTATGTACTGACCATGGTAGAAGGAAGTACTGGATGGTTGGAGACATACCCCGTGCCTCATGCCACTGCCCGGAATACCATCCTGGGCCTTGAAAAACAAGTCCTGTGGTGACACGGCACCCCAGAGAGAATTGAGTCTGATAATGGGACCCATTTCAAGAATGGCCTCGTAGACACCTGGGCCAAAGAGCACGGCATTGAATGGGTGTATCATATCCCCTACCATGCACCAGCTGCTGGAAAAGTTGAGCGGTGCAACGGACTGCTGAAAACCACCCTGAAGGCACTGTGTGGAGAGACTCTCAAACACTGGGAGATGCATTTAGCAAAGGCCACCTGGTTGGTCAACACCCGAGGCTCCATCAATTGAGCTGGCCCTGCCCAATCAGAACTTTTGCATACTGTAGATGGAGATAAGGTCCCCGTGGTACATATGAGAGGAATGTTAGGGAAGACTGTTTGGATTAGTCCCACCTCAAGCAAAGGCAAACCCATCCGAGGGATTGTTTTTGCTCAGGGACCTGGTTCCACCTGGTGGGTAATGCAAAAAGATGGGGAGACACGTTGTGTACCACAAGGGAACCTAATTCTGAGTGAGAATGGTCTGTAATGTTTCATTGTATATATATATATATATATAGATGTATATAGTTTTAAAGGGATATAGTTTTTTTTAAAGGGGGTTAATTTGGGCATGACATGGATGGCATAGAATAAGGGGTGGATAATGTCCTAGTTAGGACAACTGAGACCAGTTCATCAGGGTATGGGTGTAACCCAAAACTGTGTATTCTATAGCCTTCCATGCCATTTCCCAGAAACTGTTATCAATGAACCATTTACACCATCTGACCATAGAGCCTGACTCCTCAGGCTATAAACTAGGTGTTAAGAGGCCTGTGAGATAGGAGGATGCTCCTGTCCTCACACCCTTTGTGGAACTCCCCGCCCGGAGGGAAGTGCTGAGCATTTCTGCCTGAACTGCAGGATATATAATCTTGGAGTCTTGGAACATTTTTAACCACTCTGTGGGATCCAGAGAAGGACTGCGGCTCATCGCTCTCAAACAGACTTGGATCACCACCCTATACTGGACTCCAATCACCACTTTTGACCAGACTGCAACGGCTCTTCCCCCGGCATCTCACTGCAATCACCACTTTTGACCAGACTGCAACCGCTCTCCCACCAGCAGGTTCTTCCCCTCTCCCTTTACTTTGGACTCAAGCGGGGCCCAAGGAACACCACGTTGTTCATGCCCCAGGGTACTGGGTTATACATTTGGGTTTTGTGGGTTAAGACCAATTGTTTGTTTGTATGATTGTACTTACTGTATTATTTTAGTAAATTGTTATTCTGACTTATAATCTCTCCTTTGAGTTGAGTTCATTTCCCCTGCTGGTTAACTCTTAAACCAGCACAGAGGGATTAAAAAAAAATAAAAATAAAAAAAAAATTGGTCACTTGGAATAAGCAAGGTCATGGTGGTTTCTGAGCCCCTAACTTTTCAAATTGCTGCAGCACAACATAAAAATTAACATCTCTCCAAGTCCTACTGATTTAACGAGTATTTCGTCACAGGTCTAAATGTTTTCCTATATTAAAGGGGAAAGGGATAAGAAAAGGATGATTTTTGTGAACAAAATTACACAACGAGATGTGACACACATTTGAGGAAAAGGAGGTGCTAAAGGTGCTAAATTCAAAAACAAATGTCAGAACACGTGGCACACACAAAGACAACTACATGACAGCAAGGTGTTCAGGAAAGATTTTAAACTTCCAAGGAAAAAAGTGATCATCTGTGTGGCATAGTGATAATACAAAACAGCAGGGTGGCATAATGCAGCAGGAGGTTTCTTAGGCAAACCTCATCCTCCTGTTGGCACAGGTCAGGACTCTGAACTACACCCATGTGATGAGGGTGGTACAGCTGCAGCATTTGCTGTGAGGAGGGAAGGAGCAGCAGCCTTTAGAGTCTGTATTAAGGTTTCGGAAACAGTCTTGGCAGAAATGAATTATAGGTGGCTGCAAGGTCATCTCATTTGTGACATTAAGTCATTAGACTGATTATGTGTCCATCTGCTCTGCTTTGCAAATTGGCCTTCTGTGTTCATTAGCAATCATAAACCCGGATATATTATGACACAGGCCAGGAAATACATGTACAAACAGTCATGAGCACGGCCCTGAGAGCATTACAGCTCCTCAGTGTCATAAACACTAACGACTTTGAAGCATGCAATTAGCCTGCTGCAAGTAAGCACCTTCAGAGCAAACAGAGTACAAGACCTACATCAAGAAAAAAGGAATTTTCACTGTAAATATGCCCACAACTAAGGGGACTTGAGCCTACCAAAACAGGGGGTTGTCAGTGAAGAGAGAGCTCAGTGTAGTAACCATTCATTATCATCGTCACCTTGGCATCACTCTCCTCCTGCACAGTGGATTTCATTAAAGACAGAGGTACCAGTCAGTTGGCTCTGCTTCTCCTTCCATCCACAGGGCTTAACTGTGCTTTTCTGTGGGCTGTAAAATGTAGTAATACAAAAAACTTACAAAGCGTGCTCTGCCCCTGCCCTGACACTGAGGCCCTGTGCTGCAGAGCCTGCTCTCACCCCCAAACCATGCCCTGCTCACCCTCACCTTTTGTTTATGCAGATACAAAAGTGCTGTGACACGTTGGCAGCAGGTCAGGGAGCCAAGTCCATTCCTGGTTCCATTACAGGGATGAGCTTGGTGCAGGTGCTTAAACTGACAATGAACATGGTGTTCAAATAGCTAAAACCCGGAAAGAGAACTCCTCCCACAGCCATTTTATGGTCTGTACATTATGACAGCTAACAGTTGAATTATTTACAGAGTGAGCACTTGTACTGTAACCGTATTTTTTTTAGCTATGTATTCATGTCAAGGGAAGCAAAAATAGTACAGTTCTAATGGGTACATTTCTATTCATCTATCCCTTGTTTTTCCCATTCTACCCTAAGGCTATCATTACGTACGGTAACGAAGGAAATTAAAATGATTCCTGTTGCCTCTCTTCTTTATTAATCTTTAATGATTTTTAATTTGAATGCTTTAATCCATCCTTTCATAAAAAGGGTAAAGCAGTAATTCTCAAAAAGCCTTTTGCCGTTTTTTTTTTCAGTCATCCCTTTTTACAACAAATTTCCAAAAACCCCATGGGAATTTCATTTCTGGTACGTACTTTCCTGTTTTATCAGTATTCAGAGAACGATCTGAGTGCATGAACCTGCTCCCATCACCAGCACATGGAGTGATTCAATACAGCACATATGCATGTTTCTCTATAAGCAAATAATTATGTTGTTTCTTGTTCAACAAAGCATTAAAGCAAAAGCTGTTTACTATAAGCTGTGCTCACTGCCAGGAGTAATCTCTTTCTTATTTAAATGAGACTAATAAAGGTAGAAAACATTCTGCCTAGGAGTGGTTTAGGAGGAGAACTCAAGCTTGAGGAGCTTTTCTTTGCAGCAAGCCAAAAGAAAAGGGGAGGTAGATGTGAAGTTTGGAAGTCCATCCTCTGCAGCTGGCTCAGGGGAGGGCAGAAGAGCCTGGGAGCCAAGCCCAGGATGAATTAACCCTTCAACCCAGAAACCACTGCCTGCTGAGGTCACTGCTGGTGCCAGAAGCAAAGCCTTCCATGGTCTCCCTCGAGAGCTGCTGTCACAATTCCAGCATAAAAATTCACAATTCCACCTGCCACCCCCTGCCCTTTACTCAGGCCTGTCACATTGTCCCTTCACACCCTGGTCTTTGGGGTCAGCACAAGCATCTGTCTGGGTCACTTCAGAGCCAGGTGGAAAGCAAGCAAACAATTGATAAAATAAACCACTCCCCACCAGCCCTGCTTAGGAGCTGAGGTAGTTCTGAACATTTCACCAGTCTTCATTAAATAACCTGCCCTGAAATCTCCCTAGTGTCACCCAAGTGTGAACTGAAGCTAGAGTGGCACATACACCTCAAACCACACTTCTCCTGGAAGGAGAGATATTTGGATGACATCACAGAACATTAGACCATAAGGACCATTATCTGTGTCTAGTATTCCATGTACTCTGCATTTCCTCATGGCACTTAGCACGACAAAATTAACCATTCTTTTGGAATTATATTTTTATTATGTCAAAAATTTTTCATCAAAGACAGAAGTTTGGAAGACCTCCTCCAGCCACAAATGAGCAAACTGCCCTTTGCCCAGATAGAGGGGCTGTGAAGTGTGGAAAGCAGGTCTTTCGGAGTCCAGACCAGAGGGGGCAGGGGGAGGACACACCATCTTCCACCTTCAAAGGAGAAGGTAACAGAGGCTGTTTTTAACAGGCAGGTTGACTGCCACCAGAAATACCTGTCAGGAAATTTATTTACAAAATTCAAATATTCTGATTCATCCACCTTTCCCACTGGAACTGTTTCATTATGTATAAATACCCACATAGTTGTTCATACACATATCTTCTGCAGACAAAAAGAAAAGTAGCCTGAAGCCTGGGTCTGTTTTTGAAGTAGAGGAAAGCAGAGCCCAGTCTCCACTCCAAGGAACAGCAGGATTTTGACCCTGGTACTTTACCTCCCCACAGGCCGCTCTGTAAACTGGGCTGCTGAGCTATCCCAGGATTGGCTTGGGTTACTTCTTTGAACAGAACAGCTGTGAAAAGCACCAAGTTCAATTAACTAGCTCTCGTTTCATTTATCTATCTTGAACAGAAAAATATCATTAAAAACCCTGACCCAATTATTTCATACATAAAAGGAGCCTTTGTAGAAGGTGTAATATTCCTAAGAGGTGGTTAATGAGAAATATACATCAGAGCTTAACTGGAATGAGGCTTTGATGTTGGCTGGCTTACCTGTTGTGACACTAAAGAAAAAAGATCACAAGGGAGAGAGTGAGCCCCCATTGCATCTCTGCTGAGGGACGCTACAGTGGGGTAAGCCACGGGCTCCCAGGCTGTTCTTCAACTCCAACCCCACAGCAACCCCCACCAGGACACCTACAACCCACACAGGCCATGGAGGACCCACTTCCAGGGAGCTCTGACTCCAGGAGGTTTACTTCAGCACAAACCCCGCCAGGTCACACAGTCCTTAAGACAAACTAAGCAACATTCCCAGCTGAGGTGGAAATATGTTTTAAAAACCCAGTGTATGAAAAACAGGTTTTTAGTTTTTCCAGCACGCTGAACTTTACTGAACCAAGAAGATGTAAATCAATGTAGCATTCAGAAGAGTTGCTTTGATCAGACAGTCTTTAAAAATGCACAGTGACAGAGGGGGATGTGTGTGAAGGCCATTTGATCAGGACAAGCACAGCACTTGATCACCATGGTTAAACAAAGATCCAAGGAAAGCTCCTCCTCTGCAAAAAGCAGAGGAAAGTTCTTTTTCCTTGGGCTTTCCAACTTGCTTAAACTTTTTTTTCCCCTCCTCACATCTTTCTATTTCTTGACTGGCATGGTGAGAGTTCTCCCTTCCACTTCGATTTGTTGTAGCCACAGGAATGGGAGTAACTATAAATTCACATCTTTGTGCATATAGCACTAACCACAGCAGGATTCTCCTCTCCACAATAAAACTTTTCCAAATTCAAAATATAAAATGGCCACATGCTTGACATGTAACACTCTGGTAATGAGAAAAACAGATAAATGACCAAAAATTGTAACAGACAAGAAATTGTACCTCCCTTTCTTTTCATCTTTCATTTCTTACCATTTGAAAAGGTTACAAAAAACACTCCAAAACACAGCTTCCCATTGCTTTATCAGAATTACTGTTTTTCAAATGTAACAGCATCTGAAAGGCTAAAAGGGTTGTCTTATTACAGGCTTAAAAGTGATTTTCATACTTGAGTACATTACTACTGTTTAACAAGGGAACAAATGCACTTTCTGAGTGAATATCTAATTCCCTGTGTGACAGCAAGTGAAAATGAACCAAGCCACCAGCCCCCAGGAGACCTGGTAGGGCTGCCATGCTCCAAGTAAGTTCCTGAGCATTCCCCAGGAATTACCAGTACTGTGCCATGCCTTTATGCATCCACTGCAAAATGATTGAAATCTGTGCGTTATACCTATTTATACTTGAACTTGGCTTAAATTTAGCTGAGTTGAGGGGGGTTGTGCTTGCTAAAAAGATGAATAGAATATGTCTTTGAACCCTATTAGCATTCCCAGGGCAGCTGAGATTCAAATCTTAAAACAACAACAAAAAGTAACATGAAGGGGGGGAAAGGGACCAGAAGGGGAAAAAAAGAGGAGGACAAGGAAAAGAAATGACTTTTGTGCTGCAGAGTATGATGAAAATCTTGCCATTGAAGTAGCAGCTTGAAACACCCACAACTCCACTGCCAAAACCCAGTATAGGAACTGTACACAGAAGTGTCCCTCTAACATTGCACTGGGGCATTGTGGGCAGTGGTATCCAACAAAAAGGGCTTGTGAAACGTGTTTTGATTTTTCTTTGCAACAGGAATGTGCAGGAATCTGTTTTGCAATGCATTCAAATGATTCTTGCACAGAGGTCTCTTTCCTGTGGTGCAGCCTAAGGAATGGCTGTTCAAAACAGAGAATACCAGAGGTAAAATCTCCTTTTATGTTCACAGTATCCAGCAGTTTTGCAAACTTCCTACACAGTTCAATCCCAGTCCAGACACCAGTGCTCTGCAGAAGCAGGGAACACCTATACTGGTTTAAGCTTTGATCCTCCTGCCAAATTTGCTAACAAGAGAGGTGACTGCTGCCTGACTGCTTTTATGGATGTTTGTGAACCCCACTGGTTTGTCCAACTTGAGCAACAAGGGAGATTTCCAAATGCACCTGTCAAGGCATCACAATGTTTCCACTGGAAAAGAATACACTTTCACCTCAGACTCCCACATGCAACAGAGCTTTAACAATATTCCAGCCCTGGCTACACCCGAGCCTAAAATCTGCATTAGGCAAGGGGGTAAGAGACAACGTGCTCTCCACACCAGCACAGAGGGGACCTCTTTAAGGCTGAAGGCCTGAAATGTTAATGCCCCTTTCATAAATAACAGAACTTTTTGATGCAGGTTATCGGCTGTTCTAAAATAACATAGAGGTGCAACTCAAACCCCTTTTTGAAAGACCAGGATCAAGATAACATACACAGCACCAGTTTAGTCCTCTAGCAAAGGTGATTTATGATACAGTTTTGACTGACAGAGCTGTGCCATCCCGATTCAAAGTCTACTTCATCCTTTACATAGATTAAACTGCATTCAACTAATGAGGACCTAATGAAGACCTAGTCAATTTTCTGTTTACTTTTGCTTATCAATTCTGTACAATTTAAATCCTGCTCTAGAAGTCTGAGCTTCTTCTGAGTGCTTTTCAGGTTAGAATTAAAGACAACCATCGCAAATAATTTTTGCAGAAAGTACTCCTTAATGCAACCGCTTCAGTACAAAGTCATGTGGGTTAATTTGTTCTGTTTAACATAAAGGCTCTTTAATTTGACTTAGGTGACTTTGCAATGAAGCATAAAAGATCACTGCATGATCCATTCCACTAGGATGAGATGACACAGCTTTCAGCATACGGAAATTAAGAAGCTGATAAGGAATTGAGGGAAAAGAAGGCATTATCTGAAGTACTCCAGCTGTTCCTAAACTGGACAAATACATTCCGTGCCAACTGCACTCAAGTTTTCTTTTCCAATTGCACCTCAAATTTATTGTACCTTCATGGCAGC